GTAGCTGCGCGATTCTTCATTAATTAATCTAATATATACAAGTAGGACCGTCATATACAGCCGCGACGCGAAACACACTTCGGGACTCTCGATGGAACAACGCTGGAAACATCGCGCCACCGGGGATGTGGTCTCGATATACATTTCTCGTGCGCGCTGCGTTAACTCTCGCAATCGAGAAAAGTTACAGGGGACACGTTGGAAGCGCGCGACACTTTGACGCACCGTTCGCACGGCGTTTTCCAGCACGAGGTGCAAATTCTTTTCGCCAACGAAAAGCAGATTACGCACCATCACGTTAATCGCCAGCGTCCGGTGATTGACGCCCGCGTGAATTGAGAGAGAGAGCTCGTCTCGTCGCGGTAGTAGTAGTAGTAGTAGTAGGTTTCGTTCCTCTCTTCCTCGCAGTATTTTATTATTTACAAGTGGTTCGCAGTACAAATTACCTTCGTTCACCTCGTTCGGTCGGGACTCGCTACTCCCGCGTTAGCTTTGAGAGACATTCCCGCCATTCGTCGCCGCATGTTCGTTATATTTTCAGATCGATCGCATACATACGATACACAAAGAGAATCTCTCCGGATCGTGTTCCCCTCGTTCACGAAAAGAGATTCGGTCTCGCTCTTTAAACGATCTACATAAACTCTTGCGTCGATTACGGATTGTTTAAAAAAAGCGGACCTCGCTGTTAAGATTTATCTATCGCAAATAGAGAAAAAGAGAGAGAAGGAGAGAGAGAGAAACAGAGAGAGAGAGAGAGAGAGAGAGAGAGGGCCGCGATATAGCAAAATATTTGACATATGAAAATAGACGTGTAAGATTTTTTCTTTACATCGCTTCGCTATCACAAGGATTATCTACGATGTCGGTTATTTAGATCGCGAGTTAGGATTTGATATGTACAATATAATATATACATATATATTTTATATGCGTAATAAAAAGTGCTGTCTGTCGTTATCTGTCCGTTTGTCTTTCTCTCTCTCTTTCTTTCTTTCTTTCTCTCTTTCTCTCTCTTTCTCTCTCTTTGTGTCTCCATGATATCTACCGTATAAATAAATAAAATGCGTTTGAAATTGTGGAAAACGCACTACATTATGGAAGAAATAATTAAAGTACAGATCAGCAAAAACATATATATACATATATGTATATATATGTATATATATCTATGTGTAAATACATACATGTATACACATAGAATTATATTATACATAGTTATCAGATTCGCGAAATTTGGGATAAATCATTGACAAGGAAACATATGGAAAATTACTGATCGATTTTAATGGGCTTTGGACTACCTCCAATTAGAGACACGTGCTTTTTTGCATGTGCATGCCTATATAAACAAAAGTTTTATAGGTTTATAAATTTTTTAAAAGTATCACATGAAACTCTCGAGAGTATGTTGAGAACTTAGATACATGTTTATATTTTTGAAAAACTTACATGCAATTCTGAAGAGCGTCAGGATACCATAAAATGTTCACTAAAAGTATTATTCCACAGTGATCACTTCACAGTGATTCGAAGATATTCGCTCGAAATCAATTTATCATATTCATTTTCGAGCAATTGTTCCAATCCCTAGACGTGTAAATATCCAAAGAAAAATACATGTCTCTTATTTTTTGTACATCATTTATAATTTTTACAACTTATTGTACACAAATCCAAAGCCTATAAAAATCACTGAAGCATGTTTCCATGTATGTTTTCTTGTAAGTATATCTATATATTCACGTGCATACTCTTTCTCTTTCCGTTTCTCCCCTATTCGCTTTCTCGTCAAAACACTTTTCATTCTCGTCGTAATAAATTCAAACACAAGGATACATTGTAATACAAGGAGCAATATGTACAATATGGCGCACGCAAATTGAATGTTTGTCGTCATCAACTGCGCCGTGTCGGTTCAAGTATTTACACCCGTCCTCTCTCCGTCGATCCGTAAAACTTTCTCGCAGAACGTAATCGCGACGCGACGCGAAATCCCCGTCCAGAGTGAAATTCGGCTATAAACTAACTCCTCGACTCAGCGTGGAAATCAGGAGTGGAATCAGCGTGAAAAGTTTCCGAGTCAATTTGTTTGTTCGATGCGAACTCGCCAAACTCGTAGTTGTAGCTCAAAAATTTACAAATGCTCATGCTGTTATAAAACTCCCGCTTCCAGTATTGTCTATGAAAATTAGAAGCGCGTTTAGTGGAAGAGAATCTACTTAGAAACTAGGTGTCAAGGGGGAGCGGGATGGGAAATAAAGTGCACATAGAATCGATCACTAGGCCAATATGATACACCACCATGCTCGGAATCGTGAGAGACCGATGGGAAAACTCCTCCTCTATGTACAATTGTGTAATTAAACATTGATGAAAAATTTGTAAAGCTCTTTCTAGCACGAAAGAATTCGTCTCAATCGACCCAGTCGGAAGGGTCAATTATTTCATACTTTAATTGTCCCGAGAAGATTAATTATTACCCATTTCAATATTTACTATAACGTATCCCTTTCGCCCTCTGTCTCTCTCTCTCTTTCTCTCTCTTTCTCTCTTGTTCTCATCCTCTACGTCGTTTTATACCACGAGAAATGCCGCGCGCGTTCATGAACACACTGAGTCCTCCGCCGCCACCAAGCAGGTCGCGGGTTATCGCGAAAAGTCTAAGAGGTAGTATACTTAGTATGATCGTATCGGCAGTGTCGTTCGGAAAAGGCGGACACACACTCTCGAAGCTTCCGTAAATCGTTCATCACACGCGGCAAGGCAGGCCAGCCGAACAACGGGCTCACAATCATAGCACGAAGTTCACGTTGTACGTCTCGACCTGCATCGGTTGCAGGCCGACCTCCTGAAGACCGTCTTTGAGTCGAGCGCCTGGTCGCGTGCCGGTTAACGACGTCTTCGTGACGTTGACGTTGTCGAGCTTGTAGAACGCGGTACCCGGTGACAGTCGACTGGTGAGCGGACAATGCTTCAGCACCGTGTCGATGCCCACGGAGCAGCTGTAGCCTTGCCTGTGCAGCACCATGAGAGCGCTGTTGACCGGGAAATGCGGCAGCTTCTGGTCGTGATTAGTGCGCAGGTTGAGCAGGTGCAGGTCGCACGGGAAGCTCTGGCTCAACAGCCGGATCTCGGGCGCCATGGTGACCTCTTGCTCGTTGCCGTCCACCACGAAGATGTTGACCGGGTAGTTAAGCGCGTTGCTCAAGTGGTTCGCGTAAAGTGACGGCTTTGAATAGGCGTCCCTCACACCGCTTATGTCTTCAAGCAGCAGCCAATGCTTGATGACGGTCCTGCGATTGTCCAGTAGACCTTCGCCCATTCCCCTGGAGTCGTCGTACAAAGTTCTTCTGTCCAGCATGACCTCCAGCCAGCCGGGTTGATAGCTGGCCGCACCTTGACAATGATTAACCAACAATGTTAACCGATGACTATTGTCCTCGATGTAAGCCATAGTCGTGATGGGAAAGTAATTGCCCTCGATGCCGATTCGCTCAATCTTGGTGCGCTTGATCATCTGGTGACCGTTGAGGTCGGTGTAAAACTCTGGCGGGTCGTTGTTAGAAATGTCCGTCTGCAGGCGCATGAACATCTCGGTCTCGCGGTTCTTCGGCGGCGTCTCGAAGTCCACGATGTTGCGGAGGTAGATGGCCTCGCCGAGACCGCCGTCGTGGTGGTAAATGGCCACGTGGTGCGTCAGCAGCTTGCCGTATTCGACGGTGAGGCGAGAGCTGAGGCTGCCACTGACGATGTAGATCTTCTGATGCGGCGTGTATGCCTCCAACACGTCCTTGTCGGTGTCCCGCAGATTCGGATCAGGCATGAAGAGATAAGCGCCGCTGTGGAACTGCGCGGACGGATACGCCGCGAACTGCACCGCGCACTGCATAATCTTTCCGGTGGACTTCTTGGTGACGCGCTTCAGGAAGCCGGTCTGTCCGTCAAACAGCAGCTTCATCCGCTGGTTCTCCAGCTGCACGTCGCCCACCTGCATCGACTTGATGGGGAACACGTTGTCCTTGCCGCAACGGGTGCAGTACACCGTCGAGACGGCTTCTATCGGCACCTTGTCGATCTGCTGCAGGTGATACGTGGCGATCGACAGGGGCTTTAGTTCGGCTACGAACAAGAGCACGTAGACGTCGTGGGTGATGCTCGTGGCGTTCATCACCGGTGCGATCTGATAAGGGATAGGGTTCCTCTGGGGATCCAGGACTCGGATCTTGTAGGAAGTGATCTTAAGACTGACCACTTCTTGCCTGGGTTGCGCCAGCGGATTGAATAAAACGATCTTCCGCGTTTCGTGGCCGTTCACTCCGATCGGTATCTTCTTCGGTAGCTTCTCGTAGCTGTCTCTGTCCGACTCGGCCAACACGTAGACGGAATTCGACTTGGTCGTCACCGCCGCCAGCGACTGTATAGCGAAACTCTGTAGGCTCGTCGTGTCTGAGATTGACTCGAAGAGTTTCAGAGCGTAGTCCTTCATGACGAAGGACTTGGAGGTGCCCGTGATCGCGTCGTGGTGCTGGAAGAGGCCCAGATTACGCCTCGCCTTCACTAGTTTCTCGAAATACGTCTCGTAGAGCTTGATATCCTTGCCCGACTGCTTGGCGAGATTCAGCGCGATCGTGTAAAGGATCTCGGCGGATCTGAGATTCGCCTCGAGCTCACGGTCCAAGATTTTCATATAGGGTCTGGTGGTGAAGTAGCCGCTCCAATACGCCGGTCTACCCTCGCTGAATATATCGGAGTAGACAAAGAAGTCGCCCGTCAGCGACGGGAATTGCTCCACGCGCTTTTGTATCTCGTTGAAGTAGTCCTTGGGCGTGCCAAACACCACCTCGGCGTTGTACTCCTCCTTGCGACTGTTTATATAGTCCATCAGAATCTTGTAGTTGGTATACTGTTGATCCCACTCGATCGCGTGGTCGTACCTGAAACACAAACAGTGACGGAGAACGAGATATCGTTCCGTCAGTAGAACCAGCATCTCACATAAATTTAAATTTACAGAAAAAATAGGATAAAGAGGGAGAGGAATGAAAACTGAAAAAGCATAAAGATAAAAAATTAGAAAAATTGTCGCTTACATTTCTTCTGAATAAGAAAATCGCAACGCACAAAATGGAAACTTTCGATAAAGAACTAAAAAAAAATGATATAAAGAGGATTATTTCTCTCTCTCTCTCCATATTAAAATAAGACCGAAAAGAGTAAATAGCAAATAATAATTTTAATAATCTTAAATCATTCCAACAAAGTCCTCGATCTGTACTTTAGTAAATAATAGTCTGAAAGGAACGTTCTAAAGTTCATTTCGCGAAGGTGTACGTTATACAAACCTGAAGTCGTCGCCGAGGGGCATCAGCACAACATTGTGAGTGAACAAGGAGCCGGTTCTCGCGTACTGCTCCAACAACAACTCGGCCATCTGCTTCACATTGTTGGGCGTGATCTCAACCGCCCTTACGGAGTACTCGGTGTACTCGCCGCGTATCTTTCGGAAGTCGAAGTTCAGGCACACGTGCGGATGCGGCCCGCACGAGTGCTTGATGTTGTAGATGTCGAAGGGCTGATTGTGGGTGAGCATGTCGGCGGCGCCGGTGCGGTCCCATGGCTGCCGCCACACGAAGTCGCCGTATTGCTTCTTGGCGAACCACTGCTTCCACGCGTAGTGTATCCTCTGGATCACCGTGCCGGACGCGCCGGACGCCTTGAGGAAATAGGGTATGGTGCTGCCGTGGCCGAACGGATCGACTGACCAGCCCGACTCGGGGACCACGTCGAGATTCGTTTTCAGCCACTGGTGACCTGAAGTTGCGAAAGAGGCCCTTCTTACAACTGGATGGCCTTTAAGCTTCGGACAGTGTTGGACGTGAAACGATTCAAGTTCTCTCTTTGGCTGAAATATCATCGGCAAATCAATCATCAAAATCGATCATACATGAAATCACAAATAATTTTGTCCATTGATGAAATTAATTATTAATCAGACTTTGATTGATTATACACTGATTAATAATTTTATCAATCGATTGAATTATTCACGACTACATGTATGACGATTGATTGATTTTGATTATTAATTTGGCGATTATTTAGGTCAAAGGGAATTTTCATCAATTGATGCCCAACGCTGCCTTTGGAATGCTAGGGGCGCGTATATGCGTCCGACAAATGTCACCGGTGTGGATTATGAGTGCTCATATATAAATTACTCATTAATGAATTACTTTGGTTCAATATAAACAATGATTATGTCAATTGTTGTAATGAGGACTTATATATTCATGTTCTTTTGCATACCTGCAACGATAAGGAGAGAAATTTTATTTCATAGTATGAAGACATTTGGTTGATTGGAACCTAACGCAAATTACTCGTGCTAAATTTTACTTGTGGAAGGATACTCGACTGTGTAAGATTTTATTTGTCTTAGTACATTTCTTTCAATTTCTCAACAAGTTATTTCTTTTGCACGAAAGAAAAAGATTGATCAAATTAATGTTACAATTAAACGCGTTTCGCTTGAAGGAAACATAATTTCTATTTCTTAAGAAGTGAATTAGGTCCTTAAGAATCGAAAGTTCTGTTCCCATCGACTATAACGCATTCAATTATCTACTAATTCAGCGAATTTTTTCTCCCGTGCACTGGCTGACTTATGACAGCCCAAAATATTTCGTCATTCAATCAGCAATTGATTAGCTCCAAAGTGCTTTATACCCAAAGAGTTAAAGTGGCGAATGTCTCGAGCGTTTTGTCGAGTACCGTACCAAAATACTCGCATAAATAAAATATCATCCATGTGACTGAAGAATCACAAATAAAATATTATTCATGTGACATGTATTAAAGAATCAACAGTATTAATATGATTATTAGGATAAAAGGGAGCTCCTTAAATTTATCGCGGATAATATTATTCCCGCTCGTGCTACCCCAAAACACGTCGGCGAGAGACATCGTGAGTGCTCAAACGTGAAACGTTAAACGTCTCTTTTCGCTATTTTGGACGTCCCGTTGGAGTTGCACAGCGTGAATTTTAGTCCGGCGAATTTCAGCCCCCGGTCTCGAGATGGAAAAGGCTTCGGTAACTCGGCTACGAGTTTAGTTACAGTTTATTCCCGTTTAATCTACTAAAACCAATCTACAACTTAATTATGGACGCGTATCGCAAAAGCCGCGTCTGGCCTGACTGGCCTCTTCTATTTTTTGCCTTTTTTTTACGGCGTGCATTAATTTGCATCCGGGGGAAGCCTTTTAAAGTTCATCCAGCCGGTTCTGCACGGTGCGATCAATTATTCATAATGCGAATTAATCCGCTGTTTCCGTGCCCTGAATATTCCGATTTTTCTCTAGTGACGGCGAAACGCGAACGCCGAAAACACAGTTTCGTCCAGCGTGTATACGTATCGGTAATCAAATAAACTAACAATTCAATGAAGTCAATTAACGGAGCGATATGTATTAACGGATCATTGAGTAAAAAGCCAAAACATTATCAAGATTAGCGAAGGTCCGTCCACCGGTTTGTGACTCGGCGCGGATCGAGCATTTAATTTGATTGCACGTCCAAAATTCACGCTTCACGTGCGCGTTTGTCCTTTTATTCGAACCTTGCGTTTTAATCACGCGCGACAAACACATCTAATTAGCGGCGTTGCAGAGATAGATATGTAGATAGAAAGAGAAAACAAGAGAAATAGAGAGAGACGCGTCCCCCAAAAGATAAAAAATAGTATAAATATGATATACAGCGATGTCTGTACGCAAAATAAAAACAGAATAGATAGTAACGAGGATATCGTTGATGGTAATTACAATGATGATGAGGTTAAATAAATGATCTATTCGCAAGATGTGAGAGATGATAGTGGATGAGAATGAGAGAGTGCGAGGATTTAGCAAGTTTGAGAGAGATAGAGAACAGGAAAGAAAGAGAGAGGGAGAGGCAGGGCGCGTTGTGCTGGTTAATTATAAAAATAACGGGACTAACGAACGAACAAGTGTTGCTAAAGTCGGAGCGAAGTAGTTAGAGTTCGGGCAAACGCGATTAAAGAGATACGCCATTAGCGGATGGGAAACATCGGACTCGTCGAAAAAGTTAGCGACGCCGCGGTTAGGAGGAATGGGAGGAGGATCGTCGATCATGCTCGGCCAGGACCAGACGGAAACTTACGGTCGGCGTCGACGACGATGGCGACGGCGATGGCGGCGGCGGCGGCGGCGGCGCACAGCGTGGCAACGAAGCCGCGAAATTAATCCCGCAGGAATGCGAGGAGAGAACGCGGCTTCGTAGGCTCACCGGGGATGGTTAATAGAATTAGTCCGAAGTCAGCGGTAGTTAGGCGATAGGTATATCCCACGTTCTATCTGCTCACGGTAATGGCAATGCCAACGGACCGCCGTTCGGCCCGTTATCGCGCACGCGTTATCATCGGCGTTGCACTATCGCCCGCGAGAGTCCGAACGCGCTATACGCTCTCTCTGCAGTGAGCATAATCTCATAAATGATTCTCCCGCGGGCGGATGATATTTGCGCGGCACGCGAAGGATTAAGTCGGTAAATCAAATGGATTACACGTCGCTTACCTAAGTCCTCCTGTGCATTACACGCGCACACACCTTGCCGTGTATCTTATTTCGTTAATATTTGTACCGAGACCGAGAGGTGAATGTTTCAGCGGCGGGGAACGTGTCACGCGAAGTTCCGTGTGTTAACAAGAAGAAAAAAGAGGAGGAGGAAACTGCGAGCGGATGAATAGTTTCTGAGAGGTAATTTCTCGGAGATGTTGCTTAGTTGCCGTGTCAGGTTTCTATAGCCTCCTCGCGCGTAACCGGGTTTCTCTTGGACGTAGTGCATCTACGCGGTTCGATTCTGTTGAAATGCTCGCGAAATAGATGATCGTGTGTTAATAAAAAATAGTATCTATGTTTAATGATAAAGTGGAATAAAATAAAATTTAATTTGAAAAAAAAAATAAGAGAAACAGGCATGATTCGTGATTGAAAGACCGTAGGAATTAACGTTCACCTCGGTAACACCGAATATCTTGCGAATCTGCCTAAAATCCGAATTCTCGGGGTCATTCGCAGCTCGCTCACAACCTGGAAATTGCATCAATTATTCGAGAAAGCCAGAGCTCGGCCGCAAATTGCGCGTTCGTCGTACTATCCCGCCGATGGAGCCCGCATTATTGTGGAGGGTCGGGGATGTGAAGTGGAAGAGGGAGAAAGAGAGAAATAGGGAGAGAGAGGAAGAGAGTGCGAGGGTTAGGGAGAGAGGGTTAGGAAGAGATATGGAATTAGATGACTGAGAGAAGAGAGAGGGAAAGAGAGAGAACGCAGATGGAAGCCAAGGTGAGAAAGAGGGAATAGAAGGGCGCCTCTCTAATGCGGGGAATAAACCATTAAACTGTACTCAGCCGGCGCTCGACTGATTATAACTCGTTAGAGCTGCACGACATATGTGCATTAACGGAATTATCACGAGTCGCAGAGCGTTGCAATCCCTGAAAGATTGCGTGCAAACGCACGCGCATCCGTGACATCCTCACGAGATCCGCGTCGGATAATTGGGAGGCATGTTTCCGGAAGGACTTGCATCGGTTTTTCTTGTTCTCGTGAGAAAAAGAAAAGATAAAAGAAAAAGGAAAAAGGAGTGTGCTTTAGAACACAAGCGGAGCGTATCGTTCGAAACAAGAACAAGGAATAACCTGGTACACGGAGAGAATATTATAGTTTCCTTTTTCATATAAATTTTTTTCAATTTTGCCACACTATGTTTCTAGTAGCGCAAGGACAGCCTACACTGTACACAGAAAATTTCGCTAGGAACATAGCAAACCTTTTAACAGCACATTTCAACTTCTCGCATATAAGCAGCACGTATGAAACGAAAGGAGAGTCGGTTACTGTGGATCTGTTCCAAAATTCTATAGTAATATTTGCCGTAAGTTTCTCTCCATGTAATATAAGTGAAATCTCAGTGGCTAATCGGAACTCGGCTTAGAAGTCAATTATTTCGCTGTCATTGCCAAGAGTTGGCTATCTCAAGTTAAAAGCGCATTCGCTGTTGAGATACAAACTTGTTAGCTAAAATCAGGAACGAACATTTATTCGAGTGGTTCGAGAGAAAGTTCCTTCCAAATATCTCACGCGCAAGGCGCAAGATTTCGTCGACGATAAACCCAGTCCTCAAGTTTTCTCGCACCTGTGAGTCCACTCTCGAAATCGGATCGAAGCGACATAATCGCGCCACGATAAGCGATAACTGTCGATACATGAAAATTTTTGAGGAATAAGCGGCGACACTGCACGACATTGGGATTCCCCCCGCGAGTTGAAAATTCCCGAGTTTAAAACTCGCACAATTTATTCGCGATAGATTGGATTGAGCAATCCGTACTACATTTTCGTGTCGAGTGCACGACGACTCGTCGCGAATTTTCGCAAACGAATGGCCGGGAGGAGTTGGGCGGAACTGCACCGAAAACAGGTCGAACTTTCGAAAAAGCTACGGTCACGTTCCGGTACTCGAGGATAGGACGTGCGAGGAAGCGGGAGAGTGCAGCACGTCGAGAAGATGCCACGTGAGATATGGGGGACAGCTGCTCGGAGTAAATCAACGTTCGAATTTTACCCTCCCCTCCTCTTCTTCCTCCATCCGGATAAACCTCGAGACTTTGAACCCCATCCTTTTGTCCGTGTTCAATTATTAATGACGCGATCGCGAGGCGTATCGTGATAAGAAAGGCTGCGCAATTTTTAATTCGGTCGCGGAAGAGGAGGAAGAAGGCGAGACGAGG